GAGCCAAGGTCGTGCCATTGGGTGGCACGACTCCAGTCTGGGTGACAGAGCAAGACTTCATCTCAGGGGAAAAAAACACAAACAAACAAACAACACCTAAGAAACTTGCATTTGTATATTACTGTTGACAGAACTCCAAAGTGTATTTGGGTATCACCAGTTTTCCCATTAATATCCTCTTCTCTTTTCCTGGATTTACTCTAGGGTGCCATGTTGCATTCAGTTGCTGTATCTCCTCAGTCTCTTTACTGTGACAGTTTTTTCAGTTTTTTTCTTGTTTTTCATGACCTTGACCTTATTTTTAGTTTATCCCAGATGTCCAAATGAGGTAGTGTCAAGAATTTAGAGAACTTTTTTTTTTTTTTTTTTTTTTTTTTGAGACTGAGTCTCGTTCAATTGCCCAGGCTGGAGTGCAATGGCGCAATCTCATCTCACTACAATCTCTGCTTCCTGGATTCAAGCGATTCTCCTGCCTCAGCCTCCTGAGTGGCTGGTATTACAGGTGCCTACCACCACATCTGGCTTATTTTTGTATTTTTAGTAGAGACAGGGTTTCACCATGTTGGCCAGGCTGGTCTTGAACTCCTTACCTCAAATGATCCTTGTCACTCGGCCTCCCAGAGTACTGGGGTTACAGGCATGAGCCACCATGCCCAGCCTAGAGAACTATTAATACAAGTATCTCTTAAGAGAGTTTGGATTTGATTGCCATTTCAGCACATTAGAGAGGGGCATCTTTCCCACACTGCTGGCTGGGTGCTCTCCTGGTACAAAAACACAGGGAAACAATGGAGTGACGCATGGCCTTTCGGGCCAGGTGCTTGCAGAGTATGGCAAATTGTAGGTTTCTGATGAACAAGCAGCTTACCAAGGAATTATAACCCCTGCTCCCCTGCTGTGTCCAAGTCCAGTTCCAAGTGTCTTATAACCACGGTTTGATGCTGCTGGCTCCTCCCCCAGCTCCATCTTTGCCTGTGAGTATACGTATCTTTCAAAAGTCAGTTCTTATTTCCAGTAACTCCAAATACAAGCCTTCTTTTAGTGACAAGCAGATGAGTGTGAGCTGCAGTCACCTGGATTCTACAATGCTGTCATGAGAGAGAACTTAGTAATTATATTCACCAGGTCCACTGTCCATGTTGGCTGGCAACATGAAGGGATCAGAGAATTCTTTGAAACAATATCCAAGTTCTTGGTTAAAAGAGATATAGGCTGGGCTCAGTGGCTCACACCTGTAATCTCAACATTTTAGGAGGCCAAGACAGGTGGATCATTTGAGGTCGGGAGTTCAAGACCAGCCTGGCCAAGATGGTGAAACCTCATCTCTACTAAAAATACGAAAACATTAGCCGGCTGTGGTGGTGGGAGCCTGTAATCCCAGATACTCAGGAGGCTGAGGCAGGAGAATAGCTGGAACTCAGGAGGCACAGGTTGTGGTAAGCCGAGATTGTGCCAGTGTACTCCAGCCTGGGCAAAAGGGGGATTCTCCACCTTAAGAAAAAAAGAATAAATAACCCGGGAGGCGGAGCTTGCAGTGAGCCGAGATCCGGCCACTGCACTCCAGCCTTGGCGACAGAGCGAGACTCCGTCTCAAAAAAAAAAAAAAAAAGAAAAAAAGAATAAATAAAGATATATAGCATGACACTACAGGATGGAAGAGCCCAGAAAAAGGGTTCCTTCTTAGAAGCTACTGAAGAGCCAAGTGCTTTCTTAGGGCAGTGTTTCAGACAAATTTAAAAAATTTATATATGCACACATGTAAATTTTATATATATGTGTATATATAAATGTGTATATATACATATATAGATACAAATTTCCCATGACCCTTGTCCCAAAGAAAATTATTGTTGACATTTTGCCTATTTTCTTCTATTTATGTTTTTTGAAGAACATTATATTACATGCTTTTTAATATGCTTTCATTCAACGTCATCATAAGCATTTTACCTGTTTCTTTTAAATAATTATTAAATAAATAAGTTTTTCATTTAAATAATCTTTAGTTCACCTAGTCATTCTATGGTACATTTGGTAAATTTTTAATGCCTTGAGAAATAATGTTTCAAAATAGGATGCTTCCCTCCTTATTTATTAGATTATTTCTGTAAGTAGAGTCCCAAAGTGGGATTACTGGGTCAAATGTTATAAATATTTTTAAGGCTTTTGATCCATTTTGGGGTTGAGGAGAAACCCTTCTTATTAGAGCTCCATAGAAGCCAAGTAATAATGCTAAATTTCCTAATTTGCCCTATGTCACTGTTTGCTCTCTCAACTTAAATGAACTTTGACTTGGCCACAAAACTAAAGTTGTGATTTCATTCATTCATTCACTCACACAAGTTTAGGTGTCAGGTACAGTGCCAGATGCTGAAGATAAGAGACCAAGCAAAACGCGAGCCCCTGCTCTCATGTCCAGAATAGCATCTGACCCAGAAAGACCCTGATTTGCTTGACAATAGAGTTAGAGAAACCCATTTGAAAGCATCTATTTTTACCAGAGACTTGATGCTTCAATGCTGACTGTCTTCTTCCGGTTTTGTTTTTCTAAGTTGCTCCGATTTTAGACAAAGATGACCACTCCACATTCAATTTGAAAATCATTCAACTTGAGCTCAGGGCACAAAACTAAAACATTTTGTCTGTGCCTGGACAAAGCATTTTGTGTGGAGCCTCATGGGCCTAGCAGCTGCTGCTTCCTTTTAGTAATTAGGAAGCACTGGGATTTCTGATAAATAATTGAAAGTGTACTCTGGCAAGTTTCTACAGCAGTTTTAAGGGCAGTGCCTATTTTACTGTTCTCTGCATTGGAGAGTAAAGCCCTTGATTTTATGACTTGACTTTTCTGATTGTCCTCACTGGTACTCTTAGCCTCATACAAAACATTTTCTTTTTCCTTTTCTTGTGATGATGACTGGGTGTGAGGGGCACCGTCTTGAAATGGCTTCCAAGTAGGGTTGGAAGAACAAATTGTCTGATCAACAGGAGTAACTGTCAGACCAGCTCTCTGATGATGAAACCATGATAAGTCATCTGGGGAATCTTTTGCATAAATTACTTGAGTCCTTGAAGTCAGTGCAGACTTTTCATTGTAATTATGTGGATCGTGAAGTCCTGATGACTCCCAGTGGATCTCAGTAAAGAGTGACTAATGGATCATGGGGTCATTTGGTTAAGTGGGGGAGAAAAATCTGGGCAATCAAGGACCAGGTTTGAAGTGATCCCTATCTGTGGCCTAGCCTCTGGCAAATGCTGTCTCCTTCTGTCACCTCTGGGCTCTGACTTAGCAGGGCCTGCCTCCCTAGCCTGATTAGAAGAAAGAGCTAGACAATTTGGCAGACTCGGGCATCTCCAGCATTGCCCCTTGCAGCTTGGTGCCTCCAATGGTTAATGTTGTCATGTCAAGAGAGCAGAGCCTGTGTCTGAGCAAAGCAGATGATGGAGTGCTTGTGAGAGGCAGTGTCAACCATGATGTCATTTGAGAGGGCCACCCAGTCCAGGTCTAAGTTGTGCTTTTCATGATGTCACCACTAAAGTCACTTGACTATGAATCAAAGACATTTCTCTTATGCTGACTTCTTTTGTTAATTGGTAACAAGAGAGGAAAGAGGCTCTGAGGATTACAAAATATCTTACCCTTTAGCAACATCATGGTGTTCCCTGCATGAGGTCTCGCCTCTCTTTCTCTTTCTCCTGCCCCTCTTCCTCTCTCTCTCCTGTTTTCCTTCTCTCTCTCCTGCTTTCTTTCTCTCTGTCTCTTCTTTATTTAAATACATTTGCTTTTTAAATTTTTCCAGAGCACTTGTCACTTCAGAACATAAATAGGATGTCTAAAATACATGATTTTTAAAATAAAAATTTATCAAAGGATCCTGCAAGATAGTCCTACAAGGTCCTTTGATGTCTAACAATGTGCCATTGGAGAGCTAGAAGCCAGCAAAGCCTGACTTCCTAAGATAAATGTAGCATCTCTTGCAATAATTCCATGGGCCCCTTCTGTCTGTGGGTCTCAGTGCAAACATGCCACCATGAGATGAGCTAAAAAACAAGCTTGCAAAATGAAGTCCCTGAGGAGTTGAGGTACTCTTACTACAGACAGGCTGGAAGTATATTTCAGCCTGTAGCAAGCTGGTTTCATCTCTGCCTGAGGAAAGATAAAGAACTTTGCTCAGGAAATGTGAACCCCTGTTCCCAGGCTTCATTCTTCTCAAGCTGATGGACAGGTATGGAAGGAATGCGTTTGTTGGCAGGAATTAGATAGTGCCTAGGCACAAATGGCAGTCATGTTCTTTTCCTCCCTCTCTCTGCTTTGGGGGAAAAATGTGGTAGGAGGGGATGCTCTGCAGGGAGAGGGGTGCAGAACAAGCTGTCTCAGCTTCAGCCAGCTGCCGTTTGTCACTGGATTCTGACAACGGCTTCTGGCTCCGTGAGTGTGGAAGCCAGGGACCTGTCTCATGGTGAAGGCCGAGTGACCAGTGGGACTCAGGGTAAACCTTCACTGTGAGCCAGGAACAAGCTCCCCTGGTTATATTTTCCCAAAGAAAGGCATTTCTCCACCTTTCTGTTAATAAGTCATATCTCTATCCTAACTGTAAGACTTGGTGATTCCTTTGCTTTCATTTCCAGGGAGGAGGCTTTCCATGGCATGCAGGTGGCTAGGACAGGAATTAAGAAACCTAGTTGCGGCCGGGTGCAGTGGTTCATGCCTGTAATCCCAAGCACTTTGGGAGGCCAAGGCAGGTGGCTCATGAGGTCAGAAGATTGAGACCATCCTGGTCAACATGGTGAAACCACCCCCATCTCTACTAAAAATACAAAAATTAGCTGGGCATGGTGGTACATGCCAGTAATCCCAGCTATTCGGGAGGCTGAGGCAGGAGAATCACTTGAACCAGGGAGTCGGAGGTTGCAGTGAGTAGAGATTGCGCCACTGCATGCTAGCCTGGTGACAGAGTGAAACTCCATCTCAAAAAAGAAAGAAAGAAAGAGAGAGAGGGAGAGAGAGAGAGAGAAAGAGAGAGAGAGAGAGAAAGAGAGAAAGAAAGAAAGAAAGAAAGAAAAGAAAGAAACCTAGTTAACCTGAAGTTCTGACCATAGGATTGGCCAAATGTATAATAGGTCAAGAGAATGCTGGATTTCTGTTACAAGGGATGCTTGAAATATATATTAGCTCATACGTGAAGAGGGCAGGATGTAATAGGCTAAAAGTAAAGCCCATGAAGTAGAAGGTACAGTACAATACCACGTTGGTATTCTCCATATGTATCCATTTTAAAAAGAAGAATAGAAAGCATCACAACCAACATTTAAATAGAGATGATCTCTCAGTGATATTATTGGTAATTACTTTTCCTTTGAGGTTTCCCTGTTTTCCAACTTATTTCCTTGAAAAGATAAAGATTTAACTTCTTTCTTTTAGTGGTTTTTAATCACTGTAGTTCTAGCAATCTTGACCTATATCCATATCTGTGTCTGTACTTCTCTCCAGAGTTGCTGTATAGAGCACTGCTCCAGCACCCAGTTTAGAAGGGGTGAAGTGGGATCTGGAATCAATCCCTTCTTTGATCTGCTTCTTAAGTCATCCCTGACATGGGTCAGTGTCTGCCCAGAGGAAAGGGAACTCTTTTCCAATTTTCCCTGAAGGAATGTCTTGTTCTAATCCACAGAATGATACTGGATTTGCTCACAGCAACCCTGCTTGTCTATGTGTGTATGTATGTGTATATAAGGGGACTTTAAAAAATTCATAGGAAGATGGAGTTAAAAGTTAAAAAATAAAGTTTATTCCCCAATACAGGCTCCCTCAAGGTCAAGATACGTTTGTAAGCAGTAATACCAACCGTTCAGTCTATTCCTAAAGAACTGAGGGTCCTGGGAATTTAACCATGTCAATGCCATCTTTTTTACATTAACTAAAGAAAAAAGAGGGCCCTTTCCAGATTTTAAGACTAGGAAGTGAAAAGAAGTCAGAAGGAGCCAAATCAGGACTGTTAGGTGGATGCCTAATGATTTCCCACTGAAACCCTTGAAAAATTGCCCTTGCTTGACGAGAGGAATGAGCAGGAGCATGGTTGTGGTGGAGAAGGGCTCTCTGGTGAAGCTTTCCTGGATGTATTTCTATTAAAGCTTTGGCTAATTTTCTCATAACACTGCCATATTAAGCAGACATTATGGTTCTTTGGCCCCCTAGAACATCAGCAAGCAAAATGCCTGGAGCACCCCAAAACACCGTCACCATGACTTTTGCTGTTGACCAGTCTGCATTTGCTCTGACTGAACCCCTTCCACCTCTTGGTAGCCATTGCTTTGATTGTGCCTTGTCTTCAGGATCATACTGGTAAAACCATGTTGCTCCTTATTTCAATTCTTAGAAGAAATCCTTCAGGATCTTGATCCCACTTGTTTAAAATTTCCACTGAAATCTCTGCTCTTGCCTGCAGCCTATTTGGGCACAACAGTTTTGGCACCTATCAAGTAAAAGCCTTGTTCAACTTTATTTTTTCAGTCAGAATTGTGTGAGCTGAACCAGTTGAGATGTCTGTGGCATTGGCTATTGTTTGTGCTGTTAATTATCAGTCCTTTTCAATTAGAGCACAAACAAGATGAATTTTTTTGGCAAATTAATATAGCTGGTTTATTGCTGTGGGCTTCATATTCAACATCACCTCATTCCTTCTTGAAATGAGTTACCCATGTGTAAACTGACTGGGAGGTGGGCATTGTCCCCATCAACTTTTCATAAAGCATCAATGATTTCACCATTCTTCTACTAAAACTTTGTCATAAATTTGATGTTCCTGTTTCAATTTTAGCAGAATTCATGTTGCTCTGATAGAGATTCTTTACAAACTGATATCTTATCTTTCTTAGTACCTCAAACTAGATCCTGTTCAGACATGTTGTAACAAGTTAGTACAAGTTGATTTTGGTGCAAAATCTTTTTTAAATCCATACATGGTTTTTTCATAATAAACATTTTCCATTAACTTTTTGAAGATCCCTCATATGTATTTTTCCCGTTAGTCATTTTGGCCATCTCATAATCACCATATTGTATTATAAAGAGTAACTATTTCTCAGTCTACATGTATCAGGATTCTTTATACTCAGGTCTAGATTTTAGAACTGGCTTTCTGTAGGGGTAGGTAAAGTTCAAGGATTTTGTAGAAGAATGAGCTTCTTTGGACCTTTCTACTATCCTGTTATGTGCCTAAATCCATATTTCCTAGGGATGGGGATGGGCTGGGAGAGAAGCAAGAATATTTGATGTTGAAAGGTCAGTAATAGACATTGACCAATGGAAAACCCAAGTAACGCTGTGGTGCCAATAGGATGCAGGGAGCCTTCATTGTTCTAGGAGGTGATGATAGTGTTACCAGTAATGTAAAATAAAGGGACACTGTGACCATGTGGCTATACTCTGGGGTGAAAGATGGTGTCATCCTCTTTTCAATCTGTATCCCTTTGTTGTTTGCGGGGAAACTGGTATAGCTTTACAGAGACAACTGCCTGTAAGCCGGAAACACCTGGTAAATAAAAAGTGATAGAACCAAATGGCTCCCACGGTTCTTGCCTCAAGTCAGAGAAAAGCTGTGATGAGTCAAAAAATACTCCAGGTGCAAGAGCCCAGTGCCTTGATGCACATGTGAAAGGCAGGCACCTTCCAGAAATAGCATCCCTGACCCCAGAGACTTGGATGGCCTTGTTTTAATTTCAGAGTTAGAATAATGACCATTTTATGAACAACCAAATAGTTATTCTGGGTTCTCCTCTCAAGAGTGTGGTCTGAGACCTTGGCTTGTATAGTCTAAGTATGTAATAACTGAGTGTGTTTCCCATGATCCTGTGACAGCCTTCACTTTGAGTTCTATTTCAGAACACCCTCTTTCTGGGGGCACCTAAACATAGGCCCTAGTGAAATGGAATTTAGAAGCAGCATTATCTGCAGGGCAGTCTGGGGCCAAGCTGGCCAACTCCTCACTCTCAGTTCAATGGAAAGCAACAGGAAGTTGCCCCTACATTTGGGGGATGGTAAAAGGAGCTACCATTTGGTAAGCTGAGTGAGTGTCCCAGGGCAACTTATTAACTGGAATTCTCTGAGAAACCAGTTAAAGTGGAGTGTTAGGTGGTGACTTGGAGTTGAGAAAGGAGCACTAAACTGGAATTCACAGCAGCTCCTGCGTAACCACATGTGCGTCGTTGTCCTGGATACTGTCATCTCTAGTTCATGGCTAGGATTCTTCCTGCTGTTAAACCCCATGCATGGTTTTATGCACAAGAACCACTAGCTCAGGATGCCTTACAGAAAAGTTTTTTGCAAGAGGAAAAGCCTTCAAAACAGGAAGAAGTGTTGGTTGTCCTCTCTCTCTCTCATAAATGCCTCCATTTATTACTGATAATGGCATTTTAAAAATGTTAATGATGAGATTGTTTTCACCTCATAGGATGACTTCCAAAACTAAATACAGAGCAACCAGGAATATCAGAATGAATGATCCCTCGAACATCGGTTAACTATGGAAGCGAAACCCTTCTGAATATTGACAGGATAGGGCAGCCTCCATGTCAGTAAATACTTGGGACAGACAGGACATTGGGTTCGGGGAACCCTTTGGAAGAGTCAGGTGATCACTGGTTGCAGGGGCTGGTTCTTTTTGGAACCCTAGTGGCCGATGAGTCTAAAGCTGCACAAACTATGCCACATGAGAATGTGACTTTAGCCCTCTCTTGAATGAAATCAAGTAGAGATTAAGTCAGTTTTGACTCTTATCAGAAAGGTTTAAGCTATTAGAGTTCCTACATTTCATCCTGTGTCTTTGGGGTTAAGAGGTGAGGCTCTGGGCCACAGCTCCTGGTGTCTCCTAGAGGGGTGGCTCATGAGAATGGCCATATTGAAGAGTCCTTGAGAACATAGACTTTGGAATTATGCAGGTCTAGGTTATAATCCTGCCCCTACCATGTACTAGGTGTGTAAATTTGGCCATTTAATACCTCTCTAACTTTAGCCTCCTTATTGCTAAATGGGAAAAATACAGTATGTTCCGTGTAATGAGTAGTTAGAGAGGAAAGAGATCTCATGATAAATTCCTAAGGAATGGGGGCTGGGCTTATAAGAAAGGGTCTGGCATCAATCCTGTGAACAAAACACTAGGATTAGACCCATCACCTCTAAAGCAGGAAGAAGGAGGCTAGCTGGATGCTGGGATGTGGGTGGTGGGTCAGTGATTGCAGAGGCCACTAAACCAATACTATGATAGAGAAAATAGAAGACCTGTTGGGGGCTGGGCACAGGTAGGATGCAGCTCTCAAGGTGGGCACAGAACAGGCATGTGTGCAAGGTGCAAGTCCTTAGATTACTTGATGTATTCGTTTCCTATTGCTGTCATAACAAATTACCACAGATTTAGTGGCATAAAGCAACACAAACGTAGTATTTTACAGTTCTGGAGGTCAGAAGTCCAAAATGGGTTTCACTGGGCTGAAATCAAGATATTGGCAGGGTCACATTCACTCTTTTTTTTTTTGAGACGGAGTCTCGCTGTGTCGCCCAGGCTGGAGTGCAAGCTGGAGTGCAGTGGCGCGATCTTGGCTCACTGCAAGCTCCGCCTCCCAGGTTCACGCCATTCTCCTGCCTCAGCCTCCGAGTGGCTGGGACTACAGGCGCCCGCCACCACACCTGGCTAGTTTTTTGTATTTTTAGTAGAGATGGGGTTTCACCATGTTAGCCAGGATGGTCTCGATCTCCTGACCTCGTGATCCGCCCGCCTCAGCCTCCCAAAATGCTGGGATTACAGGCTTGAGCCACTGCGCCCGGCCACACATTCACTCTTAAAATCCTAGGAGATAATTCATTTCTTTGCCTTTTCCTGATTCTAGAATCCACCTACATTCCTTGACTCAAGGCCCCTTCCTCTGTCTTCAAAGCAGCAGTGAAGCATCTTCAAGCCTCTCTCTCTGCTGTGTCATCACATCCCCTTTCTCCTCCCAGGCCAAGTGTGGAACTCTGTTGGATGGCACTAGACAGAAATCACATCCCTCCTACAGGATCTCTACAAAGCATGTGTTCCTGGAGCAACTATATGAGGAAGATGGCAAAGGCCTAGAAAATTTGGTCCCGTATGAGGAAGATGGAGAAAGCCTAGAAAATGTGGTCCCTGTTGCCTTTGAGACTTACACATCATCCTGAAACCCAGCACTCTGACTGTTTATCAAGATCAACTGTGCTTGATCAACTCAAGATCAAATTAAGTCTAATTTTAAATGGGAAGAAAGGTAGCACTCTTCTTATATTCTTACTGGAGAAGCTATCCTTCTTGGTTCTGTTCCATTTTGCACATGGAGTAGGGTTTTAAATAGCCAGATCCAAGGCTGGATTTGAAAGCTGATGAACAGAGCTATGAAGAGCTTTGTGATGAAAAGGGTTATTATTGGCCTCCCATCCATTGGCTTATCTTTTTTTATTCTTTAAGTAATATGACAAATGAGGGATATGATAGGATTGTCTTTGGTGTAGTTTCATGAGTTGACATAATTAAGAGCCATTTCCAATTGGCAATGCTGCAAGAAAAAAAACTTGCAGTCAGACAAACAAGGAAATTACTTAATTAGCAACTCAGGTGAGCGCTGGCTTTTGAGAAAGATGTTAAGGTTGGAGGAAAGACAGGAGACCCACAGAGGCAGCATGTCACAGTTGGGTGTTTAGCCAAAGACATGTTCTTCTGTCCCTTTCCTCCTGCATGAGTCTTTTCTGACTGTTCACCTGAAATTGGATATGGAAGAGCTCTGCTGCCACTGCTGCCAGCCTGGTAGACAGAAAACGTCAATGTTACAGAAAAATGATTGTGTGTTTGGTTCCCTCCAGTTTTCATGAAATAAACATCACCTGGCAATTCCTTGGAGATGAATTAGCCACTATTTCATTCCCCTTAGTCCTTCCTGCTGGGTTAATTATTGCTCTGAACAATGGCAGCATTAATCAGCATGATAACAGTTTCTAGTCATCAGCAGTGTAACCAGGTTTGATGCATATGGAGGTCCCTCTATCAAACCATCAGGAAGATCAGAAACTCAGTCTAGGGGGTGCTCTTTCCTAGGAGACCCACACGTGTCCAGGCTGGGGAATTGTTCCTTTTGGTGATTTAGTTTTGAATAGGTTCCAGGTGTCATCTGCATGACAAGGCTGAAGAAGTCTGTTTCGGTGGAAACTCCAAGGCTTTTGCTCTGGGTCAGGGTCTTTGACTTCCATAGGTATCAGCTTTGATGCTTTTAAAAGCTGCAGAAGCAGAGTCCAAGTATCATGGTTTAGCAGACAGACTTTGGATCCAGACAGGCAGGGATTCAAACATGAGCTTCTGGACTAACTGGTCGTGGGAATTTGGGAAAAACTTAACACTTAGGGATAAATATAATCTATGTGGAACACTTTCACATAGTGCCTGGCACACAATAAGTGGTCATAAATGGTAGTTTATAAAATGAGGATACCACTAAAACTGTAAAAAAAAAAAAATTTTTAATTATGTGACTGCAGCCTATTTTCTGGGGCTTTAGCAGCAAGGGGTGTATCCTCAGGGAAAGAATACCATCAGTGCCACTCCAGGTGAAAAGGTGGCTAGAGTATTACCTACTCTTAAAGCGAGTCACTCTCAGAGTGGCAGGTTTGTACATAAACAGGTTCCTGAAAATGCCAAATGGCAGTACCTCTCCTTGTTAACAACTGCTGGTTTCATCTGGTGATGGCCAAGGTCCTAAATCCTCCAGACCTATGGATCCTACAAATGCCTGGGTCATTTCTTCTTTACAGAACCAGAACAGACTGCCTTGACCGCTTTCTCCTGGGTTAACAATGGGTCTTGACGTGGTCCTGCCTAGGACCTGAGAGCAGCAGAACAAAACTGCTAACTCAGAATTTTCTTTCCCTTTCTTGGTCTCACCTGGCCTTTCAAAAGTCCAGGAACCCTCAAAGACTAAAAGGAGCATCTGGACCAGAGGCATCTTCAGCCAGTGTCACTAGGCACCTTCAACCAGTATCACTAGGGAGACCAATTCAAGAAGACGACCAACCAATGCATGGTCTTAGCTCCACCCTCAGCACACACGTGTCCTCCATATATGCTCCACAGAATGCAACATACAACATATCTAATAAAAATCCTAATACAAATTATTGAGGAAATACAGACTCTTTTATATGCAGGCATTGCAAATGTGCACATTTCAAGAAATCATTTAAACAAATTTCTTTGGAGACGAGGTCTTACTCTGTCACCTAGGCTAGAGTGCATTATTGTGATCATAGTTCGGTGCAGCCTTGAACTCCTGGACTCACGTGATCCTCCCGCCTTGGCCTCCCAAAGCACTGGGATTAACAGATGTGAACTACCACCCCCGGCCACATTTCAAAAATATTCAAGTGGAAAGGCGAAAGGCACACATCATGGAATCTGGCAACCATAACATTGTCCTAGTGTGTAATGCTGGGCCTGTATGAGAGCATCTTTTCTTTGTTATGCTAGTTCGTGCTTAGGAAGCGCTGTGGCGTGTTCTTGGGTGTCATATAAAGGGCCAAGGAGAGAACCTAGAGTGTTCAAATATCTTCAGTCTACTTCTGACTTCATTGGCAATATTTGGCAGTCACCTTGTATAGGAGAAACAGAGTTCTCCTTTTGAGAATAGGAACCCCTTTGGGTCACAGGGAATAGAGTTTGTTAGACGTCTCCAAAGAATGGGAACCCTGGTACAGGTTGGGTGAGACTTTTTTTTTTTTTTTTTTTTTTGAGATGGAGTCTTACTCTGTCGCCCAGGCTGGAGTGCAGTGGCCGGATCTCAGCTCACTGCAAGCTCCGCCTCCCGGGTTTACGCCATTCTCCTGCCTCAGCCTCCCGAGTAGCTGGGACTACAGGCGCCCACCACTTCGCCCGGCTAGTTTTTTGTATTTTTTAGTAGAGACGGGGTTTCACTGTGTTAGCCAGGATGGTCTCGATCTCCTGACCTCGTGATCCGCCCGTCTCGGCCTCCCAAAATGCTGGGATTACAGGCTTGAGCCACCGCGCCCGGCCCGAGACTTTTTAAACAAACAGAATTCTGGCTAACACCTTCTATTAGTCCCTAGAAATCCTCCATTCCTCTTGCCCACATCAAACTTTGAGGTACCGCTGAGGTTGGCAGCAGCTTGGCTCTGCCATTATGTCCAAATTCCACTATTTCTGTCCTGAATTTGCATTTCCTGGCAGACCTGAGCCAAGTCCCAATGAAACAGCCATAGCTTTTCAGAATTACAGGCAAAATCGGGCTGGGAAGAGGTGAGGGGGGCAGGGAGGGGACGGGGGAGAACATACACAGTAATTGTCACGAAGGGCCCAGTGATGTGGATCTGCCCCGAGGACGTCATTTCACATGATCTTTGCTCACTCACTTCCAGTGTGGCCCTTCCAGCTCCTCAATCCGGGCATGGAGCCGTGCTTTTTATAGACTGTAAGTCCATTGTGGAGTTATGTATCCTGGCAGTTTATAAAGTGGTGCTTTCTCTATTTTTATGGGTGCCCTAGGACAGCGCAGGCACACACACGTCTCTTGGTACCTTCTCATTCCACACTGCTTGTGATTAATGAAGAAGGACTGCTGCCTCCCGCCGCTTCACAGGATAGACCTGGGCAGCCTCTGATTTGATTTGCTGTGTGTCCCCAGTGGAGCCAACCCTTTCAAACCCCCTGCCCCCTGCCCCCTGCCGGATATTGTGGGAGTGAATGAGGGATGAGGATGAGAGTAAACCCTCCCTGAAGGGTTATGTAAATCTGAAAGGCTCTGTGGACTTTGAGGCTGGCCTAGGGAAACCTCAACAATCAGCTACTCCTTGCTTTTTATTAGATTCCCTATAAACAAGTAGGGCATGATTGCGGGGGGAATCAGAGGACATGAGGCTGCTTCATGCTTGAGGACTTTTCCCCAGCACTGGTGCCAAGCAGTTAGAGCCTCTTCTCATGATGCAGCACTGATTAGCCTGGTTCTCCCTCAGACCTCAACCTTTTGTTGAGGGGAAGAAACACTTGTGGTAGAAGGAAACGTAATTAATGGAAGGATCATGTGCATGGACCAGCATCTTATCAGTGATGATAATAGGCATGGTTGCCTAGATCTTTCCAGTCAGCTGCCATATTCTGTCAGCACAGCTTTCATAATGTCCTCTTCCTTTCATTAACAATGTCTCTGGGCTCCTGGGTTTTCTGTCCTCAGATTCATCCTGAACACCATAACTAGGTCATGCATCCTGGAGAGATATCTTGGTACTTTGCCTCCTACTGTTCAAAGGCTCCCTATTGCCAATGATAAAGTCCTAACATTGTATCCTGACATCCGCATCCCTACACAGTATGAGCTCTGCTCATGTTTATGATCTCCCGTCCCACTCTTCTTCCATGGGAACCAGACCAGAGAGCTCTTTGGCCTTCAGACAGCTCCCTGCTCACCTCTCTGCTCGGAGTGCTTTACCTGGACTGCCCTGCAGTAATGATTTTTTGCCCTGCAATAATTATTGCAATAATAAATACAATAAGAAATGCAAAAATAGCAATAAAAACAATAATTATTGTCCTGCAATAATTATCTCTCCATATCCTTATCTCTCACAGAGAAGCCCTGACAGCCTCAGCCCCAGGGAGTCTCTTTCTTTCTCTTTCTCTTTCTCTGAGCTCCATTAGCATTGGCTAGCTGGGAACTTGTCACTGGTTTATGTTATTATCTAATTGGTTTAGGTGCTTTATAGAGTATCTACCCTAAGGGCAAGGACTATTGTCCACCTCTTTGCAGGGAACACTGTGCCTGATATGCTGGGTGGCCCTTGTCCAAAGTGGGGGTGGCCTTCCATGGCTGTCAGGAGCACTGGCTCAAGCGTGAGGATCGGATGCCACATGATCCAACCACGGGCGAGCTCCTTCATCTCTCTAGTCCAGAGTTTCACTCATTTGCAATGTGAGGAGTGATGACTCTTATTTTATAAAAATACTTATAAGGATTAAATTAGATACTCTGGTTTATACCCTTGGCATAGTGCTCAATGTATGATTATCGTTATCGTCATTAAATCAATGTGTGTTGATGACTAGGAATTCTGGCAACAGGATCCTGGGCCTTTCTGAGGGACCGGACATTGGCTTGGTCTGCCTGTGGAATCCCTCCCTGGCCTGGCTTCCATACATGTGCCTGTGTCTCAGTTTCCTCGTGTGCAAATTGGGACAACAGGAATACCTACTGCTCAGGGTTATCATAAGAATTACATATGACGATGACGATGGCTGGAAAATGCCTACATTTAGGAAAGAAAGCCTCAGTAAATGAGAAAACCATGGAATTCTTCTAATATCTACGAGTAAACGGTCAGGAATCATGGCCTGAGTCACAGCTTGGGCTTTCCTTGATGGACCTGTTTCCCAGTCCCTGCGTTGAGTCTAGGTGGGGTGGGGAAGTAAAAACTTCCTTCTGGCTCTGACTTTATGTAATTCTGCTCTTATGCCTCCCTTTACCTACTCAGTCCAGATCAGAGATGAGAAAGCTTTGGGATTTTGGAGAATGATTTGTATTCCTTGCTTAGAAGAATAAGACCCTTCAGGTGGCCGAGTCAGAATCACCTGTTTTCCCCCAGGCAACTCATCAGACCCCTGCAAACTTCTCCAGGAACACAGAGCACCCCTGGAAATATGTGCATTCTCTAAACCGTAGGATCCAATGCAGACAGATTAACACCCCTCCTTCAGCCCTCCTCCTCCATTTCATCAGCTTTATGCTGGGGTGGATAATGTTTCTCTAACTGCCTAATTGGGAGAATTTAGCTGGAAAATTGCCATCGTGTTCTTTTAAAGGGTGCCAACAGCCCACGGCTGCCAGCTATAATGTCAGTGGGTAA